AGAATCCAGCCTATCAACATTCCCCTAAACCAAAGCAGGGCGAAAAAAATTGTGATGGTGAATTGGTGGCTCGCAGCTGGTCTGATCCACCACAACTTCACGGCTCCTGGCGGGACCTTTACAGCTTGAACGCAGTGTCAAGTAATAGACACAATGCATGTAAACACCCGCCCATGAGCTCTGTACTGGTCAACAGGGAAGGGCCGGTCGCAATACTACCCAGTAAAAATTCAAGGGCAAGGAGGCTACGAAGCTCTCCCGCATCCACTATATTCACTAGATCTAACACGCACTACCAATGCTCAATCTCGAACTGCGTTGAGCATTGCCCAGATTTGTACCACACAGGATGGAATACCAACTATCACTTCTTGAAACATCTCGAAGCTTCCTAGAAGAGAATTGCGGCGTTGTTCGGGTTCGATGGGGCATTTTGCACATTCGCTAGTTCCTTTTGCCAGTTCATGTTGACTAAAGGGCTCATTTCGCAACTTCACAAGACCCCGTATGGTCTTGCGAAGTTGCGAAATGGCAAAAGTGAGCCACTGTGGTTACGCGGACTCACAGGTCTTTCTAATGCAGCTTGTACCAGTTTTGCCGTGTACCATTGCAGCCTCACCACGTCGAGCTGCGCCGAAATGCTTCAAAATGCCAACATGAGTGCTGCACGGCTTCAAGCGATTTCATGCGTCTAGATATTTGGGTTTCTATGCGAGCGGTACGAATTTCTCGTTGGCAGAAGTGTTATGCAGTAGAGGATTTTAAGTCGGAACTGAAAACGGCAAGAAATTCCTTCATGTCTCAGTAACCATGTACAAAATACTCAGAGGTGATCCGCCCCTTCTTGAAATATGCCATATTTGATTCCCATTCGAAATCGTAGTGGCGTTTTGAATGTGATTTTTCGACTTCATGATGACCAAGCGCCCTGCGAACGTTGTTCCCATTCCCCGGACAAATATACTTCCGATTAGTCGACCCCGGAAAAAGAAAGCCGTGGTTGGATCAGGTGAAACAGCGCATAATAAGCGGCGCCTCCTGCCCCACCAGGTTTCTCTTATGCCCGTACGTAAGAGCAGAGGTGGGAGGCAGAAGGATGGGGCTCGATTTTTGGCGCGCATTGGCCAAATTCGCGCCTCACAGGACGGAACATTGAACTACAGGGAGAACCAATCCTGGAACGCTCCTCTACAGCAGAAGCAAGCCCTCCTTCTGAGACTCCACCACGAGAAGATGAAGCTGTCGGTCATAACCAGTAAGCATAGAAAGGCCTACAGCGTTTGCTTCAGACAGAAGCAACTGCATGATTTCAACGGATGAGTCCCTTACGGACGGATTTCCGAAGCCGCCTCGATCACAATGGAATGCAACACATTTCCTTACCATCGAACAAATCGGATGTTCCACAATTTGTTTCAATGCTAGACTCCCCACCCTGTCAAGAACAATGCGTGGAGCAGCGCAATTCGGCTTAATGGGGGCACTGAGTGGTACTCAACGAAGCTAGTACTGGTCACTTTGTGAACTGGCACAGTGTCCCCACTCCCTGTGGTCCGGGAGCTCCAGCTTGTCCTGGCTGTCCATTGGCTCCAGCGTTTCCGGGGGCTCCAGATGGTCCAGGTGCTCCGGGCTGTCCACGTCCTTGAGTGCCGTCTTGTCCAGGGGCTCCAGGTTGTCCGTCGTTTCCTGGGGCTCCGGGAGCTCCAGCATCTCCGGGTGGTCCAGCTGGGCCGGGCTGTCCATCCTGTCCAGGTGCTCCAGTTGCGGGGCAGTTCTGTGCGATGTACAAAGCAGCATCATTTTTCTCCTCCTGGTATCGTTCCCAAGGATATGGAAGACCGACTTGGCTTGAGCGGGAACAAATTCGAGATTTGATCCCGAACCGGGAGCATGATAAGCGACGCCACTAGCCACTATACCACCTCCGCTACTTGTTACTTCTTTGTGTAAAGGTATCCAACAGCTACTGGCTCTCCTACAGCATGAATGGGACAAGTCTGGCTAATTATCCCAGGATAGCTATACAAGGACCTCCTTCAGATACACTTGAGAAACCACGGGCCGATTTCAACCCTCTCAAAGGCATGCGCACGATAATCGCCTCAAATGTCGTTGGACAACTGCCTTTCTTGAGTAAAACTCTGCATTTGTGATGACATTCTATTCAGTGTGTACACAAAACAAAATTGCTAGAAGCTGCTTTATTTTGTCGCTATCTACCACGGTATTTACCGTAAACGAACTGTACGATGAGCAGCAAAGTCGACTCTCTAGTGAGTGAATCGAGACACGAACACAGCCGAGCGAGGTGGGCATGGGCAGTATGCGGCATCGTTTCCTGGGAGTCCAGGTCCTCCGGGAGCTCCGGGCTGTCCATCGCTTCCTGGGTTTCCTGGGGCTCCAGGCTGTCCAGCGGGTCCCTGTGGTCCGGGAGCTCCAGCTTGTCCTGGCTGTCCATTGGCTCCAGGGTTTCCGGGGGCTCCTGGGGCTCCAGATGGTCCAGGTGCTCCGGGCTGTCCACGTCCTTGAGTGCCGTCTTGTCCAGGGGCTCCAGGTTGTCCGTCGTTTCCTGGGGCTCCGGGAGCTCCAGCATCTCCGGGTGGTCCAGCTGGGCCGGGCTGTCCATCCTGTCCAGGTGCTCCAGGTGCTCCAGGCTGTCCGTCGGGTCCGGCGTTTCCAGCTGGTCCGTCGGGTCCGGCTGGTCCAGGGGGTCCAGCAGGGCACTTGATGCATCCGGTGTCTTGTGGTGGGCAGGTGATTGGTGCGTAGGTGGCGGTGTTGTCCTCTCCTGGTGGTCCAGGGGGTCCAGGTGTTCCTGAAACACCTTCCTTAATCTAATGGCACTGCATGACTGAATAGAAACGGTAGCAATGTAAAAGTTCAAAAGTAAAGAAAAGAGAAAAAAAACTTGCCGGGCTGTCCAGGCTCTCCAGGTGGTCCAGGTGGTCCAGGTGGGCAGGTTGGCTTGACGGGCTCGCACTGGCACCAGGCTGGAAGTCCAGAGAAGTCCTGTCTCTTCTGACGGAAGATCGAGTTGAAGGGGTTGGTACGGGGCTTTGATGGTGGGGTGACGGTGATCTGGATGTCCATCATCTCAGTCCAGGCAGAGTCGGTCTCAACACGGAACACGGAGACGCCATCGAGCACCTCATCGTGAACCTCGTTGATGGTGTTGTACAATGACGGTACAACGACCAAACAGGCCACGATGGCAAGGGTAGAGCAGACAGAGGCAATGCCGACGATGAGCTTCTCCTCAAACATCTTCACACACTGACTATTCCACTATCATGCTCCCTTTTATAGGACTCTGGCTGCCATCAGAGCCACGCCTCCGTCGTCGTCGGGCAGCTGGTTCGGGGCGTGAGAACGTGGCTGCTACGGCGATGGGCCCGATAGCATGAGTCTCGTCATACGAGATAGAATCTTACAAGTAGTAGTCACAGTCTGTTCTTATTGAACTTTTCAATTACACTTTCTCCAGCTGAATCTGGGCAAGAAATCGCCTGGCAAAAACAGCGAGACAGCGCCAACCTGCGCTTGGACACCAGTTAGTTAAGTGGGAGGAAAATTCTCATGAGAAAGTACGAGTTCGAGGCCGCTTTTTCTCCTTCCAAGATGTACAGTTATAATAAGCGTGCAAGCTGCCCGGTAACTTTCACCAGAACAAAGCACTGTTTCCAAGAGAACTAGTCTTCCTGCCATTTAGCCTTGCTTTCAACTGTCTCTTTAAAGTGAATAGGGGGAGTCGTAAGTGATCTGGTTTCCAGGACGGTCTGTTGGCCTACGTGATAGCAGTTTCCTTAGTTTATGGGCATTCTGTGGGACAACAGTCTTGGTTACTGATGTATTTGAGCGTTACCTGTGACGCTCAGCTTTTCACTTAGCGAGTGGGGGAAATATCGGATATTTACTTAAAATATCGGATTTTGATATCGTGTCTTACTCTGACAAATCCTTTCCGATTATGCCGTGCCTTCTACCTTCAAACAAAGTCAAAATCGTTGGTGCACTTGCTGAGGCTCCAAGCCTTCGTATTGTTATCACCTATTCAAAGCGCTGCTCGAACGCTCGCTAGGCAAGGATTACCAGCTCTGGAACATTACCTATTTTGCTCCTATGACTGGTATACATTTCCCCGAGGGCCGCAATTGTTTGCTAATTTATCCAACAAATTTATCCATATCCAGCTTGCGGAACAATGCAAGGAGATAAAGGGCCAGAGTACTTTGAGACCTACCCTGGGGTATACCAGAACCTGTGCGAAAAGCACTGCGCTGCACTGGGGCATACTGGAAGAGCATAACGGAAAATGAAAGGTGAAATCCCCAGCCTTCCTCGTCTGTAATGAACCTCATGTGCTCGATCAGGTAATGGCGCAGGTGGTGTAAGGACAAGTGTCTTGGTCCGGAGATCCAGTCATGGATCGGCTTCCGCCGGACACAAACCGAGCCTTTCATCTCTCCTGAGACCGTGAATTGATACCAGATTTGTCTAAAGTCTTTGGTAAAAACACAGAACTGTGCATCTGTTGACCCCATCACATCGTTGTAGTGATCGCGTCCAAGCTTGCCTACGATCCTCAATTGAGGTGAAATGCGTGGCGTATATCCGAAGAATGCAGCCTTATCGTTTTTTTCTGTGCTCTATTCAATCTTTTTATTCTTTCGGGCTGTATGTATGTCTGTTTGTCCGTTTGTCTGTTTGCCAGTCGGTCAGTCTGTCTTTTGTCACCCTGTCTGCTCATCTATTCATCCACTTTTCTGCGCCTTTCCGCCGCTATGAAGAGTCTTCTTCCTTTGCTTGGCACCCCTAGAAGCTTTTGAAGCATGAAAGCACATTCGATAGCACTGCTGGTGTGTCCAGTGTGCCACGGAAAAGGGTCTGTCTCACAGGAGGTCCCATACCAAAAAATTCACCCATCTGGATAATATGCTCTAGCTCTGGGAGCTTAAGGATGGGACAAAGTCAAACACTTTATTTTGGGCAACCGCAACTATTTTAGTATACAAACTCTCCATCGGTGAATATCTGCCAGCCATCCAATCACCATCAAATCTC